GGTTGCTTTCAGAACTTTTGCAATTGCTTAAATTTAACGAAAATTTGGCGATCTCGAGTTTTTCACGGTAACTCTTAGCTCCTCGCTAAACGACCCGGTCCGGGCCCGGGTCTCATAGGAAAAAAAGGAATTACGGAAAAAAATTCATATTCTAGATCATGATATTAATAGTATTTGTTCCATGAATAGTGATAAATAGAATATTATCTGTTTCTCTGTATGTATCATGATACTAAAAGCTTTTACACATAGCTATTAGTAGCGGACATAGCTGTCATATACAGACTTGAAGTACTGGAGGAAAAATTATATTCTACATGTTCTTCGTCATTTATAGCTCAGTATTTTTATATTTTATATATTAAATGTACTTAATTTAAGACGGCGCTGTGGGTGATATTTGGTATTCGTTGATTAATGTAAAACCTCATTTTTCAATTTCATCGATCTTACGACCGCCTAATTGTACTATCGTTAGATACACTTGAACTTCTCTCTATCGACTCACCCTTAAGTTCTTCTTTCCGACTTAGAGAGCGATGGGATTTATATTTTATATCGCTTACTTTTAACATTATGTATATGCAAATTTGAAAATAAACATTAGTTTATACAAACCGGATCATTAAGTTTAGAGCAGTCTTATTGCGTGCCATTGTATACTTTTTCGAGACTCTGTCTCTGCAGGAGAAAGAAATATGACAAACGACATAACTCACGAACAGGTGCTATATTTCAGGGATTAGGTTTTCTTTCGAATATTATCATTTACTTTGTAATATTGGCAGCGATGTTTTTAAGCCAAGGGGCACTACGACTCTACGATTATAGTAAATAATTGCTATCCACAAAAAATGTAATGTAAGATATAAGGAAAAAAGTTAGTAATCCGAAAAATATAACATTTTTTCATAAAAATAGCATTAACATAAATATATGTTGGACTATTTATTTCAGATATTCCCATTCTCGATTTCCTCATGCAAATGAAGAGAAACGTATAAAATATTCTAATTTTTTTCTAGCGCAAGTGAGACGGTGAGATGCGCAAGTTAATCGCGTTTTATCTATCTTAATACTTCCGTTAATCGATCTCGACTAAGATCTCGGACAGATCTTTCCGCTGTAAATCAGGTATAGTGGCGTCTTTGGCTGGATAACCGACCGGCAGAAGTAACACGAGCTTCTCGTTGGCGGGACGTCCAAGGAGGCTGCGTATAGCCGGTCCACAGTTCATTGGCGTGGATGTAAGGGTCACCAATCCGGCGTACTGTGTTTAAGAGTAATATGATAAATTAAATTAAATATAAATTCAATCATTAAGCAAGAAAAATATTGCGAGCAAAGTTCACGAGCTACACCCTCATTATGGGATGCTTCAAAATTTTGTAAACATATTCGATGATCAGGGATCATTTTTCGGCTCGATACTTCTTTTTCTCTTGATAAATAAACTTTTATATATATATATAAAATATATATATATATAGATACTATATTTTTCGTGAATTGTGTAAGAAAGACTCTTCGGAGCAAAAGATTTGAGATGCCAATATTCGTCGCAGGAAGATATTAAAATCACCTGTATAGCGGTAATGAGAATTCCACATGCGATAGAAACACTCATTTCATGATAATAATGAATCTTTTTCTGTCCGTTTGGCAAAGTGCTGTAAATTTGCTTGAACACAAGTATCAGGTATGGAACTGTGGTCAGATATTCCTTTATCCAATTGGTCCTTAGTGGAGACAAGTCGGTCGTCCATTTTATACCCATCCTCTTCTTGTAATTGATTTCCTCCTCTTGCTCCACGATTTTTCTGATTTTCAATTTCGCAGTCGGATTAGATATCGCAACAAAGGTCCATGGCTCTGTATGCGCGCCGCTGGGAGCGGTACCTAAATAAAAAGAAACGTGAGTATGTAGCTTGGAAGATGCGAGCTTAAGTGGAACAGCGTCTTGGCTCAGCTTATTCTAAGCACTAGTCGCACTAACACTATAACTTCTCGGATCACCATTGACGGCATTAAATTTCAATTTCGCTATTTTAACGCATAACTTATTTTATGGATTGTTTTTTTTTTTTTATACAATATTTATTCACATCTTGAAAAAGTCTGAAACGCTGAGTTATTTTCAAATCGTGCGGTGCTCTCCCGCGAGTACTCGAATCTGGAATCTTAGAAGAAATCTCTCACTTGGCAAGTGTCACCGAAGTGTACCTGCGGCCCTTATAATTTCACGGATAACTTCCCTCGGGACGGGATCCGTGCTGAAGAATCTCAAGGTCCGCCTCGCCGCAACTATTCGATAAAATTCTGACGCATGGGCTAATAACTCCTTTTCGGACTTCCGGACGTAGTGATACGGTATGTGCTTGAGATCGCGCGATAAAGCGGGCTCCACTTCACACGATGTTTTATCCATTTCTGGAAAGAATTTATCTTATCAAAATATATTTTATCGAAGTATGTATCTCGGAATATAGTCTACGTATGAATTGACGATAAATCAGACAAGAAAATGAAAGATATTGCGTTCCTATGAAATATATGAAATTATTTCGGAATAATACGAAAGAAGGATTTCTAAAGACAAATCGTAAATTTTTTTTAAACAAGGAACGAAAGGAGAAAGTAAATTGATCAATTTAATCATTTATATATTGCGACGAAAGTCGCGAAAAATTTCAACAAATAAACACTGTTATAATCTTGATTAAAAAAATAACGAACCAGTTATTTTGACTGCTTCGATAGTGTTAACAAAATTTATAATTTCTGAACATTAACTTCGTAAAATTTACAATTGGCATATTGCTAAGTTTGCTAGTACTTTACTCTTCGTTTTTTTTAATCATCCCGTGACCACTTAATTGTCATCGTTACGTCGTTTCTTTGCAATCCGATACGCGAAGGTCTCTATATCATTTACCAGCAATAAAATGGCTAATTATTATTAAGATCTCAAGCGAAAAGGCTCCGAATGAGATATTTTCGTCGTTTTTACGCGTTTTTCTTTTCAAAATGAGGCGAATATGACCGACAATCACGCTCCACCCAACGTACGAGACGTAGAATTGTCCGCTGCGACATTACTTTCACTCGGGTCCGTGGATTCGTCAGATGCCGTAAATGCATACGTCCCACTTTGTGCGGTTCCCTTGGCTGATGGTCGTTCGAAGAATTTTTTAAACAAGATAAATGAGACGACGATAACGAGTATGTGATAGAAGTACTTGGTCGTGAAGGGTGCGTATTCGGCGAACATCTTTACGCACGATGAGAACAGTCTTTTCACAGTTTTCACTTGCTACTGGTCTCGCCACTATCGAACGGGGCGATCGTACTCGGCCAGGTCTCGATCAGATAACCGTGATCAAATGATGTCAATATCGGGCGTTCACCATCACTGCAAAACGTGAATGTGTACAGTTTAACTCAGATGCCCCTGGTGAAAAAAAAATGTCTCAGAACTTTTTATATGTTATATTAATTAGAATTTCTCTAAAATTTTTCAGACTTTCTTCGAATGCTCATAATTTTTCAGATTTTGAAAAAAAAAAAAGACAAAATAATAGTAAAATATTTCAGATTTTTCCTGCCAACGCATCTTTGTAGGAATCGAAATAAATATGAGAAAATCAGTGCAATTTATCAGAAATGTTCATACATACAGATACTGAAATATTCCGAAAATTCTCGTCCAATTATTTCTAAAAGTATCTGAGAAATTTTATATTTTTTCGGGATTTTTTACAAGTCTCTCCATTCTTACAAAATTTCTGAAAAATAGGCATGTGAAATTTTTTCACCAGGGAACAAGTCCATCAAGAAAAGACAGGAGGGTCTTTTTTTTCTCTCTTTCCGTCTTTCGGTAATTAAAATTTTGTCAAGTAACTTATCAGTATTTGCCTTCGCGATTGTTATAAAATTCCGGGAGAAACAAATTATTTTTCTGAAATCGTAGACGACCGATATGCCCTTTCGTCATGCGAAGTTTTCTGGTTTGAAATTTGAAATGCTGAACAAGTTTGTGCGATCCGACGATCATTTATGCTTCTCATTGTCAGACTGCAGGCTAAAAAGAAAAACGAACGATATCGCATTCATATGGCGTGTTACTTTGCTGCTTTGAACGGCTCTGAGGTTCAACATTGTTACGAAATATTTATCGTGGCTTTGTTATGAAACTGCTGGCCAACGGGAGAGAGGATCTTGTCCCTCGTTTACTTTCGATATCTTGTTTGCCACTCGTAACGAAAATTCATAAACTTCAAAGGGACAAACAACTTCTCGCGTGTTTATAGCAGATCTTCGAAACGATGAGTTTTTTTTCATGTAATATCCTTATAAGCTACAAGACGATAGGTTCAAAAGCGTTTCTTTTTTAAGAAACAAAAGCAATGATTTAACGAAGACCGCATGTAGTGTATATGGAAAAATTTACGTCAAATTGGTGAAACGAGAAAGCCAGTCCGAACGACAAGATTCTATCCTGTTCTAGATTTCATCTCTTATTTAATAATACTGTTCGTCTCTGTTTTCTTTTTGCTGTCTATTACATATTTTATAATGTAACTCGGTGGTCAACTGAGCGAAGAGAACGATCGAGAGCTATATAGCACGAGTACTCGGAATACTCGGATACTCAAATTTGACAGCAAGTTTGTGCCGCTCCGTTTCAAAGATAAAAACTTCTGGTTTTCCGATTGTATTAGCCGTACGCCGTAAGCCGGCATTCATTCCGCCGACAGTTATCTCGGTTCGTTGAGATTTGGAGATCACCTAAGCGCGTCTCGTTTGCATTTTAAACGCGTTTCCCCCTCGTTTACCAAATACGACAGCTGGGAATATATAATCGAAATCGAGAATTAGTTTTTGGAGACTCCTAATAGCTTTATACTCTTTCGCTCCATTTACGTATTACATAACTTCGTCCGGCAACGGGTCGATACTTGGGTTAAAACGAAAAGAGAACAGGGAAATACTAAATTAAGAAGTGTTCTCGCACAGGTTTTTTTATTATAAGATACTAGTAGCTTTTAACTACCTGGCGTTGCCTGAGCTTCTTATGACCTGCAGTTTATTTATACTTCATTACACAATGCTTACTTGTATAATAATTAATATTAATTTCCGCTTTAATAATTTTTTTAAGTGTGTATTTTGTGTAAATATAATTTTCTATTGTCAGTTGGTGCAATTTTTTCATTTTATATTATTTTTGTGGAATTTTTCAAGCATATATTTTTACATTAATTTTTTTGTCGAACTGTCTCTTTTCATGTATACTTTATCACGCAATGCTTATACTTGTATAATTAATAATACACTAAACTTAAATTATCGCAAAGTATCAATAAGTGAATGAAATCAGGAGTTCATGGTAATAAACTATATTTTCTACGGGGGTTTAGAGAGTAACTATGCAAAATTTGATTCAGATCGGTCAAAGGGTTTAGAAGTTAATAGGCTGACATTTTACTTTGTATATATATATATATAGTTGTACAGAATTTTTTGTATTCCTATGTATGAAACTTCCGCAAGAAAGTTTGCTCGGGGCAGGATAACATTTTGTAATCCTGTTAAAAAGGGAAATATTTTTATCAATTCTTGCACCTCTTTTTCTTTTCGTTATTTTGGTGTTGATGATCAACGAATTAATTTTCCGACTTTGTGCGGTGCCAATCTGACGGCGTATATATTTTCTCGTTTTCTCTCTTTGTTTTACGATCAACGTGATGAAACGCTCGCCGTGCTGACCTTGATTATCAATAAGGAAAAATCGATACCTAGAATTAACGAGAACGTAGTATACAATGCCCTCCTCTGAGGATGGAATATCGCAGAAGATATATCGCCGGCTGCGTACGGTCCTTTCGCGATCGCGGCAAATAATATGAAAGACTGCGTTCGACACTTCGGAACTGCTTCGTCTAAGATTCGTAAAAAAAAAAAACAGCGGGGAGAGAGAGAGAGAGAGAGAGAGAGAGTGATAAGAAATCGCACGAAATCGTCGAGAGCAGGGCCGTGTCAAGCACTTCGACGCGAGCAATCGATGTGAAAAAAAGTAACTTCCAAAAACTCGATTATATTCTGCTCGACAAAATTACGTTCGTATTTAAATGCCCGTTCAACTACGCTACCACATCTTTCCCTTTGTCTTTTATTTCGTCGATTTCGACATCAAGTATCTATACATGAACGGAACAGTTGGCTTGGAACATGGTTGCATCTATATATCGCATCAGCCATATCATACGAAGTATATATCGAATGTTGCAACAGCGACAGTCGGAGACGTCGGAGTAGATTCCTCGCACTTTGTTTAACTCGGGATCGAGCCGCGATTTCAGTTGAACGTACACCACTGGGGACGCAACATTCGCCAAAAGGTACGGCATAAATGCGTCTCGACCGTTATACACGCCGCGCCGCCGCGAGTGTGTACCAAGCTCCGTCGAAACGATAACGGTATAATCTCGCGATAGGCGGGCATTTTATTGGACGCGTTTATACGTTACGCACACGCGTTTTGATCGAGTCTCGCGCGCGCTTTCCGCGCGTCGCGTCGAGCTCCGAATTCGCCGTTCTCCAATACAACGAGGAATCCGTTCGGAGGGGGCGCGAAACCGGGTTGACACGCGCCTGAGTGGTCAGCGCGCGGCGGCCAATGAGCGGAGGCGCGCGGCAGCTGCGCGAGAAGCGCGGAGCGCGCAGTAGCGAAAACGTGCACGGGGTCGGGGTTGGTCTCGGGGTCGTCCGGCGACACGACACACACGGCTGCGGGTCCGTCGTCCGCACCATTCGGGCGCGGCGAATCGGGCGGTCTGCGGTGGTGACCATGTAAAAAGGGCCGCGCCAGCGGCAAGCGGCGGCGGCGCTAACATTGTGTGACTTTCCGCGAGGCGAGTTCTCCGTTCTACGTGTGTGCGACGAGCGCGACGCGAGGCGCCGGTGTGCGCGCTCCGACTTGCACCTTCTGCACGCGAAAAATCGGTGCTCTCGCTCCTCTACGCCGTACGTATTATCGCGCACTTCGCACATACGCGCGCGCACGCGCGCGCGCATACACACATACGTGCAAACAGGTACGTATATATATATACGTATACGTACGTTCGTGGGCACACACGCGCGCGCGCAAGACGGACACACGTGTGCGCGTACCGCGATACACGGTGCGCGAGAGACGTTTCCCGACGCGGATCGGATATGGGCGTACCGTGTCGTCGCCGCGAAATGCGCGTCGATTGAGCCGCGGATCGAGCTCTCGACGTTCTCCCGATCGTGTGACGTTCCAGCAGGAACGACGACGATAACGGTGTGACAAGTGGGAGGGGAAAGGGGGGCAGAGGACAGAGTGCGAGCGAGCGAGCGAACGAGCGAACGGAGGAAGAGAGCGAGAGGGTATGGAGAACGCCATGCAGCCGCTACTTCCACCGCCACCACCCCCGCCCGCCTTCGACATGCCACGGAGCAGCACGGAGCAGACGGTCACCCACGAGTTGATATTCGGTACGTCCATGCTACTTGCTTTTTTACTCCGCCACCTCTCGCGAGAGCCTACTGTAAAGAGTGTATAAGGTGTCGAAGCTCCGGCGATCTCCGCTGATCGCCGCCGAATCGTGGATCGTGCGATCGAGGGAGCGATTTCTCCCCTCCCCCCCCCCCCCCAGGTAGAACAGCAATGAATTAATAAAAATGACGATTTCTCGGTCGTTTTGCCATCATATTGACTTCATTGCGACGACTCTCTTTCCGACTTGAATCTCCGTTCGACGACAGAAGCGCGCTTCGCGATCGCGAGCTCCGTCCGAAGTCGACGCATCTCGGCTTCGATATATCTTATATCTTCCACCGCGTCCGCGCGAACATCATTACTTCATTACGGTACTTCGTCGTCCTGACTTTATCGGACTCGGACTCGCATCTCAATGTCACTGACGCTGCCCGAATACGTTCCGTTCCGTTACGCAACCCGTGTCGCCGTCGCGTCTCCGTATACTCCGATAGTAATATCGTAGGATACATCGCGCGAGGAAATATATCGGCGTGTGTGTGTCACTTTAATAAAACGTTTCGGATCGGACGAATATAGGTAACAGCGGCGTAGCGTTGCTGACACGCGCGCGCGCGCGCGACGCGTCGCATAAAATTAAAACTTGCGACGACGAGAGAAGATGAGTTTTTGCGCCGTCTCCGGTCTCGCGTTTGAAAATCGTTCCCGCTTGAAGGAGAGGATCGAGGAAGGAAAAGAAAAAAAAAAGAGAAGAACCCTCTCGCGTCGCTCTCTCGATCGCGTTGTTGCGTCAAGATCGCCTCCGAGAGGCGCGCGTGGCTTCCCGCCGCTAGATAAATAGGCTCTCTCTATATTTAACCGCGGTATGTAAACATAATCAGACGCACAAGCCGTTCGAGAAATTAGGTCTGATCCGGTCAAAAACGCGCTGTCCCGCCGCCAAAAATCATTCACTCGCGTCCGCCAGATCTGCTGGCAAAGGCAATGCTTCGGGGGTTTGGATATTCGAGAGATGAAGGAAATAATCCCGGTCTCACAGTGGCCACTAAAATTCGTTAGGCTGCATTCTTTTGCTTTTCGCTCTCTGTCTTTTCCTCGGTCTTTTCCAAATTTTTTCCAGACGTCAAAGATATATGCGCCGGCTGGTCGAAGAAAGGTATAAGACGTTTAAATTACTAAAACGTCTTTTCTTTCGTCTTATTGTCTCCAAAAGACATTCTTTTCGTCGATATCTTTACAGAAAGAAATATCGGTAGAAACCTTTTGATTTTTCGTATATTGTTCGTTTTAGCTTATTGTTAGAAGGTATCTCTCGTTGACAGCAGTTGTAAGCTCAGTGACCTGATCAGTAACTTCAGGCACTTTCTATTTCTTAGGAAAAAAAAAAAAAAAAAAAAAAAACAGCGCGATGTCTTCTGTTGAGGCCGGTTGGTCTTAAGACTTTTGTCTCTTTCATCGTTACCTGTCTTCTCGTTCTCATACCTGCTAATTGATATTTCTGAACGTACCCTCTGATCCTCCGAAAGTAAAAAAAAGTAATCTTGTTAAGTTGTTTATACAATGGCAAGGAAAAGAAAATTATTGCTTTTTTTTTTTAAATTATTGAACTTTTTTCTCAAATGTCTGTCCATCCTCATCTGTAGATAATGAATTATCGGAGAATTGTTGGTTAAGAGAGTATTTTATCATTGTATATTTTACTATATATCGTCTTGGCTAGAAAGTTATATAGGTAGGTTTTTCACGGCAATAAATAAATATTCCTAACTGTATATAAAATGTGTATATAAATGTAAATGTATACATATAAATATTTATATATTATATTTATTTTAATAAATTGTATGTATCATAAATATATATCTATATATAATATCTTTATATATCATACATACACTTATATATCCCTCATTTGCTACAACAACAGATCTCTAAAAACAAATTTTTCCAGAAAATGAGTTTGAATGTTTTGAATCATTAAAATTTTGTAATATCATTTTTAAATGCGATTTTGGTGTAATAACTTGTAGAGCAGTAAAAGTATCATAAGCTCTTTATTCAAATACCCATTCTTTTTTGATAAATAATTTAAAAAAATGACAATTTTTTAGTTATGTTGTAACAAATGTGCGATATATATTGTGCATCTAAAAAATATATATTATTAATTATTGTAACATTCACCTGCGAGTACACCAAACAAAAGTGCGGTAAATTATAACATTGCTTAATATTTATGCGTCACGGTATATTTAGATTATATTTAGATTAAATTTTTAGATATCTCACATCACTAAAGTTACATAATGACGTAAAAACGCTGTGAAATTGTTTGTCACGAGGCAGCCAAATATATGCTTATAGCCTGGGACCAGGAAAACATCATTTGTTTAGGTATAGTTTCATCGAGGAAACATCGTTTTATCTGTATCGTAGTATCTCATAGTTTCCTTTCTATATTTTTTTCCAAAATATAACAAATAGCTCAACGATATTAAATACCTGCCTCGTTGAATTTTCATTTAACAAATTAATATCAATTATATAATTACATGCCGTTAAATAATTCTACCACTGTTAAATTCATTAAATCAAGTGCTGCAATTAGGTTAAGTGTCCGATTTAATAAATTTTAATCCTAGTATTTTGCGCGCGCGCGCGCGCACGCACGTGTGCCGTTTTAAAATGAAAAACAAAAGGAAATAGGAGGAGAGAATTGAGTGCGACGATCACGTGAGATATATATGATCAAGTGTACTATCAACTGTCGTTGTTGTTAGCGCGGTATCGTAGCACGGAGTAATATTACATCGTGGACCGGCGCCAATGATTAAAGGCCCGGCGTATCTCGACGGTTTTCAACGTCGTATAGCCGATTATTTATTCAACAGAAACGACGTGCCGCCACCTGTTAAAATGCACACGAACTCGTTGAGTGAACATTCCGCTTTGCTCCTCGCCGTCTCTCCCCGCCTAGATCTCTCTTCGAACTTTTTTTATATGCTTGACATTTAATTTTAAATGTTACGTAGGTGCCACCCAGAGCCCGTGTTACTATTCATAATTGTTTGACAATTGCGAGTTTTTGCAAACAGAGAGATGAAGGAAGCAGCAAAGTCACGGAATGACTCGCGGTATTCGTCGCTTCTGGGAAATTCTAACTCTTTATTCGGAAAACAAAGAGGAGAATGAATGCATGATGATGAAATGCTGCAGCGAGATTGAATCCTCTGAAGTTGATTTTCCATTACCCCTGAATCTAATATGTTTTACTTACTTTGAAAAACTGTCAATGATTTACAACGGAAGTTTTATTTCTGAATTTCTTGAAATTTACTTAAAATCATCCTTTACCTTCTCGCCAATTTTATTTACGCTTCGCGTACAGTAGTTTACAGCAACGATAATCAGTATGTTCGTGAGAGATCTTTTTGCCCATGCCGGAACATAATAATATAATTCGAGAGAGATAAAGTTATATTACAAATTATAACTTTTTAGTACATAATTTTAACATCTCTCGATTGCTCGTTTAGCTGGTCCTTGAACTTTCTTCACTGTTTTGAGACGCACGAGCTTGATTTTTTTATACATCTTATATAATTTTCGATCACTATATATTATTTCTATTTAATTTTCCACGTTATATTTGTTACTTTCGATAAGGCGACTTTTTACAGCAGCGAGAATTCCGTTTGCTATCTTTCGCGCTATTTGCAAATGACCGAATGCTGGAGTAGTCATGCTGTTATCACGCGAAACACGATTAAATCGTCTTGGCTACGGGCTACGAGCGCACCCGCGAATCCTGTTCTCGTCGAGAGCAGAAATAAAAAACCGCGAAGCCGGCCGCGCGCCCGCGCCGTCGTCTTCGTCGTCGGGTTTTCGATAGACGATATCGCCGGAGCCGGTTTCCACCGACGACGTTGGCTTCCCGGTGACAAACCTGCGTGAATGTTATCCAATCGACCGCAAATGTCGCCGTTAAATCGTGACACCGAAGCTCTTTAACCGTAAATTCGCGCGATTGACGACTGATGAATTTTATCTTTGGTTCATCATTTATGGCGTACGTAATTCATTATAATCTCTCGTTAACAGTTGTCGTTCACTGCACGCTAAAATGTTAAACGCAAAAGACCTGCAATGGTTACGAAACGAAATTCCTGTCTAGTAAATAATTTTAAATGTGTACCTTTTTTTTTAGTTTATTGAAAGAAAACTTGCGTTGGGCTTCGAACGATAGGAATTCGCAGCAAATAATTGCCAATTTTTATTGACATTTCATATTTATTATAATTTACAATTACATTGTACTGGTGGAATATTCAATGTAATAATGTCATTATAAATTATAATCTTTATATAATTCAATTTTAAGCGATTACAAGAATCGCGTTATTTGTTAAATAAGGATCACGTAAATCCAACAATCACGGATAAACTTTGGAAATCATTCGGGCAAATTGAAAGTTGAGCCAAAGGGAAAATTCCATACTACCACTCCACCATTGAAGCCCCATGAAATATTTACTAAAGGTCAAAGGTAAGCAGGACGATGATTTTCTGAACTTTAGCCCCGTGCGTTTGAGCACACTGAAGCAAAGCGCATTATCAGCTTGTAAATTTACGATTGTAAACGATGAATTGAATAGCCTCTGTAAATCACCTACATAATTGTAATAATAAATGTTTCTCATAAATTTTTCATATCTTAACCTTCGGAAAAACGTGATTTTTCTTACCGAGAAAATTAGATCTAGAATCTATTATTGATATAACAAATTTAGGATCTATTGTAATTCCTCCAGGGAAATTTATTACATTATCTTATATCGTTTATCTTACGTTTTGCTACTTAATTTACTTATCATAAAGTCATATTAGTAAAAGTTAATAATTCTCGCAATACAATATTCGTATTTTTCTCTTTTATGTTGTCGTCCGATGATCAGTCAAGATCAGTGTGTGAATTTTTGAAAGGGAATTGCAGGGAAGGGAACCGAAACGTACTACACTTCGGCAAAAAGTCAACAACTAGTTTCGAAGCTTTCGAATATTTGCAATGGGCGGTGTTCCTAAAATTTTCGAAATGCCGGCTTATTTCGCTCGTATATGCTTATTTGAATAAACAACTTTTATGTACACACTAGGAATTCCCAATCTGTAGCCTGCGGGCTGGATCCGGCCCTCGTGTGTGAAGTCTTATGTTAATAAACGTACATAATTGTCGCAACAAAATGCTCGTATTTTTCTTTTTTATTTTGTCGTCCGATGATCAAGTTTTATCTGGCACAGCCAAGAAATCAAAGGCCAAGAAATTTCAGCGTTATAATATAAGAGAATTTTAAAATAAAGATGTTTTGTTTTTATATGATTTTTCAAAATAAAATTTATATGACCCTTCGGTGATTACAAATATTCTAATATGGCCCTCTTGAGACGAAAAAAGGTTGAGAACCTTGAGAACCTCTTGGGAGATACACCATTCGTGAGTAAACATCCGTTCGAAAAAATATGTTAAAAACAAAATTAGCATTCATTATCAGTGCTTCAAACGCATCGGTATCTTTCAAAACACATACTTCAAAATACATCCTAAAACTCTTGAGTCTTATTTTCATAGCCGTTCAAATTTAAAAAATTTCTTACTAAAAAATTTCGGCTGTGAAAATAAGATTCTTATTAAAAAATTTTTTAATTTCTTATTTAAATTTTTCTAATTTTTTATTTTAATAATTTGATAAGATTATTATTATACATAAATAATTATAAATTATTAATTATTTGTTATTATTAACCAAATTATTTTAAAAAGAATAGATATAAAATATCCCAGCTATATCTTTTGAAAAATACCGTGTGATCTTGAATTCTCTCTAAATTTCTTTCGTTTTAGTTGTTGTGAAAGATTGTTTGTATTAAAAATCCTTTTTTAAAGTATCTTTATAATTGCTTTTGCATGTAACATATTCTAATTAACGATATCGAGTAAATATTGAGAAATACTCGAATTTTGATATTTTACCATAAAAATGATACTGTAAAAGAGATATGTAAACTTCTATAAAAAAATAAGTGTTAAAATCACACGATTTATAATGGAAATGTTTACACTTGTTATTCATGCGATTTTACATATCGTTTTTTTTTTTTTTTTTTTTTACAGTATTTGACGTACTATGACATATTTTTCATTCGGCTAATTAGATTAATTGTACGAAGCAAAGTACGATATTGCGGCCAGTGCGCAGCGCATAGGGGGCAAAGGGTTATCCACCCTGTGAGAAACACGGGAGTTCCGCGTGCTTCGCGTATGATATTTCATTGTTTTCCTTTTCTTACCGCACGACCGCGATACCACACGTCGGCGTCGCGGCGACCATTACATATAATTTCGATTTTCTCGAAATTCCTGGCCTGCGCGAAGAGCAGTTCGGCGTTCGGAGACAATCGGAGAGTCGCGTTATGTAACCTCGGGGCGCGGCGTCGCGCTAGAGCCGTCCCTGAAGAGGGGGCCCTCGGTGTTTTCCAAATCAGCTGTTAGCACTCGGCCGAGCAGCGGGAGAGAGGGAGGGTGAGTGGAATCGGGTGGGGTGGATAAAGCGCTCTGGCTCTCGCGTAGGGTCCGTCGGTCAGGTTATTCAGTCCACAACGACCCTGCGCGGCGAGTAGGTACATCGTGTGGATTCTCGCTCGCGCCTCGTGTACAACGTACAACTCCGTTCGTATTGTAGTGCGTAACGCGCAACGGACACCGACAATCTCGTCAGAGCGTCGTGCGCCTGTCACGGCGAGACCGCAGACTTTCGCGAGAACACACGCTAAGTGTGGATCTCGCGCGTTATCGAAACACGGGACTGTGTTACTTTATACGGGTGAAAGTGAAGCTTTTTAAAGCCGAGGGACTGGATATACGACGAGGTGTCCGAAATTGTTTCCCGTTGCGTCAACGTTCGGCAGTGTCGCACACTGGCGACCTTCGATCCCGGAACCATCCGGCGTCGACGTATCCGTGACCGACATTCTCATCCTCGTCCTGGTCCTCGTCTTCATCAACTCGGTCGAAACGCGGTCGGAGGTATCTGACGAGAATTCCCGCAGTTTCTATCTAACAATAAGACTTAACGAGGATACGGATACCCTGGGCAGAGACAGATACTCATTCGTTCTGTTAGACTGATAAAAAACTACGCGGGATCAACACGTCGCGGATAGCCTCGCATCTGTGCTTTTCGAAGCACGCGTCGACGTCCTCGGCGGACTCGCACTCCCGGGGAAAAACGGAGCGAGATATATTCGCGAATCTGGTCAAGGCCCGCCGGCATTTGTCCGACGATCGTGCGAACAGCCGGACTGCGAGCGTGTCGCTCGCCGCATGCTGCGCGCGGTGGTTCCCTAAGTGTGTCAGTAGGATAACTGACGGCGTTTACGTTTCGTTTAACCGACGCGACGCTTCGCGATCGTTGCGCGAAAAAGTTCGACTTATGTCGATCGCCGATCCACCGTCCCCCGCCTCTTTCTTCCTACCTTTTTTTTGTCTTCATTCCCGCTGACATTGCTTCGCGCCGCGGCGACAGTGACGTACGCGGCACGCATCGTACCCCCCGGGTTCGCCGTTTCGCGATGGAGGAAGAGGAGAGCCTCGTGGTGACCGACACTGTCTCGGTCCCGTCGAAGAAGGAGAGCGGTTATTTCGAGGAAAACTGCGGTGACTTGAGCGACGTAATCTTCAGTAATTACAATCATTACGGGGCGCTCCTCAGCGTCGACCCCGCTGGCATCTTGATCATCAACGAGGCCAGACGCTCGGATCACTGGGAGGAGAGCAGGCAAGGATCCTCTTTTTCTTCCGGCCTGGTCGAGGATATAAACGACCTTGACGTTAACGACTCCGACGAGGCTAAGGACGACGTCGTCAAGGACCCTGAAGATGTTAAGCGCGACGTCGCCGAAGGCTCCGAGATAGTTGTTAACGGCCGCGTAGGCTCCGAGGAACTTGCCTATGCCCGCGAGAATTCCGAGGCGATCTTCCGTGTCCAAGACTCCAAGGCAATCGTCAATTCCGAGGCACCTGCCTGCGTTCACGAGGACACGAAGGCAGTCCTCTACGTTCACGGAGACACCAAAGCGGTCGATTATATCAACGACAGCTCCGAAATAATCGATTGCACCGAAGAGGATTCGACGAATGTCGAGTGTCCAGCGAGCCCCTCTATCATCGTTGAGGACTGGGATGATGTGGAAATATCTGATGACACAGGTAAAACCACCCCCTGTCGATGATAGAGATGTTACATCGTCGTGTCTTACGGATCTTTTTGTTGTTCATAAAAAGCCACGTCTTTTCGTCGTTTGTACTTTGCTCGTCCGTCGATTAATAATTCTTCAATGATCATAGGCTCATTGTCATTATCCCTCGATAGTTCGAAAACAGTCGTCTTTCGTGTCAGGTATGCCACGCGTGTTTGTCGTTAAACTGAAAAATAGATACGATGAATGGGAAGGTGAGTGAATAAATGAAAGGCGAAGCAATATTCTTTTAAGACGCGGAATTTATGTCGACCGGCGAATCTTTACTGTGCGTGATATTTAGCAATGGCTTCAACAGGTCGTAAATACATATGTAAGTACGGCTAATAAACCGTAGGCTTCTTAAAACCCATTAGGTATCGATCTGATTGTTTGATATTTCTCCATTTGCTATTGGGTTGCGGCACAGCATTCGCATCAACGCTCGTAATCTTAAAAATTAACAGTTTCTAATTATCTCTATCGTGCTAATTTGTTGTACACACGATTTAGAAAAGTTTTCCTTTCATTTATCTTTTTTGGCGCTAAATAAAAAGTATATAGAATATATAAAATAAAATTTACAACTTGTTATCTTTGACAATCAATAACACCGTCGCAGGTATCGGTTTAAGGCAAAAACTTAGTTCAAAGGCTATTATAGGCGAATAATTTAGTATACTTAAAATATAACCTTTGATAACGACGAAGTCAAAAAGCGCTGTCACTTTAAAGGCCATGTACATATTTTATACGTACTGTATTCTAATATTTTATTCTAAGAATTTGATTATTTTTTTCAAATGGCATAAATTTAAAAATGTGATAGCTTTTAATGTCACTACATAACGTGTTTATTCGAACTATCGTACATCAATTAACATATTTTTTTAAATAAATTTATCTAAGACTAATGGTGGCTGCGCATCCATCTTACCTGTATGTAAGAAAACGAATCGTTAAAAAACCGCTTTTTTATATTCGAAGTATTTTCGGTGGGCCATTATAATGGAAATGGTATATAATGAAGGCCAAAAATCATTAGACGAATTTTCATAGCTAGAGATTCAGGGAGCTTAATTTTTAAGCCTATTAAAACTTCGGATGGTTCCTATACCTGTCGCTAAATATTCGAAAGCCTTGACCAAATCTTGACTAAATCACAAACCCCAGCGGTTCCGTTAAACCATAAAATATCTTCAATTTACTTTTATCGCAAAAATCTGTTTCAACACCGCAGGTAGTCCGATATGACTAGGATTACGATTTTCTTCGCGACTAAAGTAATAGAAGGGAAGATAAAGAAAAGCGTAAACATACAAAAATATTCTTTCACTGAGGTTTTATGTTCTTTCTATTTTCAATAGTTTCAGACAATCCAAAGGCAATCTTCGAACAAAGAAAGAACATTTTCCCAAAACTTCCTCAAACCCCTACATTCTATAGTCTATACATATATTATTCTCAACTTTATTAATGATGCCATGACAGCCATGATAGGTCTTTCCAGATTCCTTTGTTCTTGAGATATTCTCAATTCCCATTGTACTATCTTAAGAATTTGAACCAAGGTTCCAAACTTTTATAACGTTCGCTTCGCGTATTAAAACCAGTAGGTACGTATTGTTTTAGGCTCACTATCTTTTATTCACAGAACCCTTGACGATCCGATGACGAGCTTTTTTGCTTGCGCGTGCATGATTGTTTTTAGCGCGAGCACCCAACAGTTAACTTTTCTCGACGCGAATATAATGCGGACTTTGACCTTACGCTCCGTTGCCGCGCGATATTGTCCTTCGTGCGTGAAAAAATTTTTTTTTTTATATACGTTTGTGTTCGTCCCGAAAAGAGAGATCGCGTTTCGAAAAAGAAGGATCACAGCTCGTGTTGATTCAGATTGCGCCAAGTGTGGCGAGAACGCGCGCTTCCTCCGTCACATTTATAATTCACAGAGACTTTCAGCAAATCAATAATCATTTCTTTATCAACATACACTTGCCCTCTTTTATTTCCGCTCACAATTTGCGCTTACATGTTCCTGGAACATACTAAATCATTGTCCGAATCCGTTTCTCGTGTGTCACACATTTTCGTACTGAGAAAATAATAAAGTTCTTTATTTTACTCCCTAATACTTGCGGTAGTTCCGCATACGTGTTTTTTAGCGAAAGGGTGAGGTTAATATCACGACAGGAAAGGGGGGGAGATCTTAATCACTTTCTCCTGGATATATACAACGAGAGACATGACACGGCTGAAACGCTCAGGTTTTGCGCACTTTCGAAATCAGCCGTGTTGTTATTCTCAATTGAGGGAAGCTCGTTTCCGAGTCTCCGAGAAACGGCGCGACGTTTTAATTTTATCGTTATACTAAAACGTTGCGCGTCCGCGCGACGAGAGAATTGTTTTTCGCGTCAGTAATATTTATATCCGATTTCAATGTTCGTTCGACATTTAACATACATAGCGAGAAGCTCGCGGACGGGACGGTGTGTCGATAATCGACAAAAAAAAATCGTCCCGTTTCGTATTCTTTGTTCGCGCAATATCTATGAACGAAAGAGTTGAATGTCGAAGGCAGCAACCCGAAGGCGTTTCTTTACCTGCGAGCAAGTTTAATCGACACGCGGAAAGGTGGTAGCTCCATTCTCGTCGCTCGCTCAACAACCGTACCGCATCTGCAAGTGCTATGGGAGATCTAAAAATAAACCGCTATTATCAATGCGAGAAGCCGTATTGAGAGCCAGGGCAAAAATATCCAATTACAAACATTACAGACGTTTTCACGGAATAGCCTCATTTCTCTCCCTGTCCCTTCTTCAATGGTATAAGCCGTCGTGCATTATGTAACGTTTTATGCTATCGTGAAAATACAATATATAGGCGCTTGCGCCGCCGTTTATGAAACTGTTTATGAAAGTCGGATCGATCTTGCAATCGATGATAAAAGTAACGCGGCAAGTATGTTTTACGCCTGACACGTTCTCTGCAAATGCAATTTCTTCTTTCGCATACATTCCGCTGAGAATTATGGAAAAGGAATCGTATCACGTAAAAAGAAATATATCACATGTCGTTAAAAATAAACGGGAAGATGTGACATGTACGTCTGCTCGTGCAACGTGAGCACATCGTGCCAGGCTTTCTTCGCGAAAAAAAGCTTGATAAAATAAGAATTAACTCAGCGTGATGGTTCTTTGCGTGATAGAATGTAACGGTCGTTCGTTACACAATTTTCGTTGCAGACGCGCGTTGTACAAACATTCGAAATTAAACAGAAATGATCAACATGTATGCAAACATACTGGCAAGCACTTTTGACGCGAAAAACAATTGTTCGAATGCCGCGTTTTCCAAAGTTTCATAAAACTTTGGCGCAACAGCCGTTCACGCACGTTGTATCGTATACGGGCCACTTAATATTGCAATCGCAAAACGATTGCGATTTGGAGTGTCCATCGATACAGCATGTTGCAGAGAGTCTCTCAATTACACGGCACATCTGGTCGACAAGAATGATTGCTCCTATCTGAACATCAATAATTTCCTATAGTTCTACGGAAATAAAGAAAAAACAGAAACTAAAAGATTTCGACAAAGAGAAGATCGATAAGATACTTGATTTTCTACGTAATCTTGAACGAATCTCGCTTTAGTAAGAATTTCAGAAACATTAATTTTTACAGATTATTTAATGATATTTAAAGATTTGATAAGATAAAATTGGGCAAATTAAAAATACATTTGGGACATCGTTAAAAGTAAATTAGAATACTTTTTTAATGAGACTTCCTGATCGAAAAAAATTCTAAATCGATCAGGAAGTTCGTGAGCGAGACAAGCGGCGTTTGTTTGCATATTTACACGTGTACGTGTACTTACTACGTGCCTATAAAAAGAATTCTCGGAAATAAAAGAGGATTCCGTACGATGCTAAACCGATTCGAGATTGGGCACGTAGCTACAACGAGCAACAGATACTCGTGCCGGATGACCGTGAAAGATAGGTCATAATGAAGAAAGAGAAAATAAGACTAAAGTCTCCACGTGTGAATGCTGGAAAAGCATAACGCAACTGACTCGATCAATCTCTAATAAGTAACGCGTGCTTCGTACGGGACGTGAGTTACCGATACAAAGGATTCAAACAGCTGTTGTTCTATAAATAATGCAAGGTTGAAGAATAAACCGGTAAATACTGGTACGAAGTGATAAACTCTATCCCTCTGTCCTTCCATTTTTATGTTATTTTTACCCAAATACTTTTATGTATATTTTATGTATTTTTCCTTGTTCCCCTCGGGCACGCGAACGGATGTTAGCGATTAACAATGCGACTGACTAATATTACATCGCAATTTGAAATTAATAGATATCGCCAGATTGAGCATCGAAGACTTAAATAAATTTGAGTTTAATAATTAAATTTGAGTATTTAATTGAGCTTATAATAAAATATAATTTTAGTGAAAGAGTACCGAAATGAATATCTTTGACGAACGTCCCTTGCACAGAATTCCTTTTTATTTTTATCAGAAAAGTATATAGAAATTAGATGCGAAGGATAAAAATGTGATAGGTCGGAAGTGTCGTCTGGTCGTTCTCTTCATGCAAGTACACGGCAATTCATCGTAAACTTAGAACGGTGCTGTAATATTTTTCAACGATGCGACGCGATATACGATTATCTTGCTTAGAGGTACCGAGTACGGTTACGTACGTACACCCGATACATCCAGTGGCGTAATATTTGCCTTGTTTCTATTACGAAAGTTTCGCCACCGAAAACGCTGTATTGTAATATTCGCTCGACCAGCAAATACTTCAATTATTGAGCGCGTAATTATGCGGCCACACGCCATTTATCAAGCGAGGAATTATTAGGCCATAAAAAGACGAGATTTTTGCGCAACTTTGCGTATCTTCGTTTCGAACGAAGAGAGAGAGAGAGAGAGAGAGAGAGAGAGAGAG